ATAGAAATTTCTATTATTATTATATAGATATAGAATAGAAGATCCTTTTCGTTACATAGTTAGGAGTTCCTAGAACTTAAACTGAACAAATTCGTGGATTTTGGAAAGAGGGAAGACACTTTTTTAATATTCTTTGATTGAAAAGGGAGATTATCCATTTTTCAAGATTTGAATAAAAAAAGAAAAATTGGAAAAAGCCGGCTATCGGAATCGAACCGATGACCATCGCATTACAAATGCGATGCTCTAACCTCTGAGCTAAGCGGGCCTACATAATCAAAATTGTCTAGGCATAGGAATTCGATATACTATAGTATAGTCGAATTATAGTGTCTCCATAAATATGGAAAAGAATAGAATCTCGAATTTCCAATAAATATTCAATATTTCAATATTATAGAACATAACGATTTCTATATCGATATAGAATTTCTATTTTTTTGTCACAATTGAAATATTTAGTATATTCGATAGTCAATCTTAACTATTTTTAGCTTTTAGCCGGTAAAATTGGATTTTCTATTTTGGATTTACATGATATTGGAAATTCTTTTTGTTACACTTCTATATTCTGTATCCTATAGATCTCTAGAATTAGATCTCTAGAATTTCATTTCTTTTTTTCTTTCATTCCAATTCCTAATTAGTTAATTCTTTCTAACTAATCAGACATTCTGCGGCTTTCGTTCGTAAAGAGGGAAGTTAAGAAAAAAAATCGACCGTTTAAGTATCAAAACTGTTTTGTAAAAACAGCAGGAAGAGAAAAATATATATGGGGTATATATCAATCTATATTGAATTGCCGATACAGAAATGATAAAATCCAACTTGATTGGATCAAATATGGTTACCTATAGGTAAGAAGGAAAATCTTTTTTTCGAGATAGTAATCGCTATTTATTAAATTCAAGGGTTATAATAGAAATGAAAGAAAAAAAATAATGATAGAATAATATGATTTGAATCTCAAAACAAAAGAAAAGGAAGGGGATATGGCGAAATCGGTAGACGCTACGGACTTAATTGAATTGAGCCTTAGTACGGAAACCTACTAAGTGATAACTTTCAAATTCAGAGAAACCCCGGAATTAAGAAAAATGGGCAATCCTGAGCCAAATCCTATTTTCTCATTTCCCAAAACAAAGGTTTCGAAAACGGAAAAAAGGATAGGTGCAGAGACTCAATGGAAGCTGTTCTAACAAATGGAGTTGACTGCATTGGTAGAGGAATCTTTCCATCGAAACATCAGAAAGGATGAAGGGATAAATGTATCTATTGAATAATCTATCAAATCATTAGAACGCCCGCGTCTGTATCGGTATTTTTTTACATTAAAAATGCAAGAATCGACGTGAATTGATTTCACATTGAAGAAAGAGTCGAATATTCATTCATCAAATCATTCAACCCATAGTCCCGTAGTTCTTTTAAAGAACTGATTAATCGGACGAGAATAAAGATAGAGTCCCATTCCACATGTCAATACCGGCAACAATGAAATTTAGAGTAAGAGGAAAATCCGTCGATTTTCAAAATCGTGAGGGTTCAAGTCCCTCTATCCCCAAAAAAGCTTATTTGACTCCCAATTATGCTATCCCCCTTTTTTGTTAAGGGGTCTAAATTCCTTTATCTTTCTGATTCTTTGACAAACGTATTTGGGCATAATAAACTCTGATCACATGTGATCATGTGATATAGAATACACATCCAAATTAAGCAAGGAATCCCTATTTGAATGATTCACAATACATAGTATTCCTCCTACTGAGACTTAGTCTTCCAAAAACTTACAGGACTTGGAGAAAACTTTGGAATGCCCCCTTGTCCCTTTAATTGACCTAGACCCCAATCATCCTCATAAAATGAGGGTGGGAGGCCACGGAATAGTCGGGATAGCTCAGCTGGTAGAGCAGAGGACTGAAAATCCTCGTGTCACCAGTTCAAATCTGGTTCCTGGCATATGTTTGATTTGTATGAGGTCTTTCTTTTCGAAATTCAAAGATATCAATCGAGATCCATATCCATATGGATTTGAAATCTTGATCATAATATCGATTTTGGCAAGATATACCCCATCTATTTTCTAGATGGGTAGAGTTTCTTAAATTCAAATAAAGTATCTAGAATGAAATTCTACTTTATCTTTTTGATTTTTCATTCAATCAAAAAGAATGTTAATACTTCATATATATTTGTATGATTAAATTGGTTGGTTGAAAGAAGAAAAAGTCGAAGTTGAAATAGACGAGATTCGATTCAGATACAATACAAAGAAATGGAATTCGATACCCTTTCATTTCTTTGTATTTTCGTTCCTATTCAATTCTCTAATTCGTCTCAACATGAGTTTCTAGAACCGGTCTAAGCAATAGGTGCAGTACAAGATTCATGATCATGATACAGAACCCGTTTGATTCATCCTATTTGTTTGGCTCGTACAAAATAAGCAGTTTCCAACTAAATGGAAGAATTACAAGAATTCCCTAATTATGTGCTTTTTTGATAGTCTATCAAAAATCCCCTAATACAAAAGAGACGCCGGTTATTCTGGTTAATCTAGAACAGAAAGTCCAATCTTTGAATCTCTGAGATTATATAAGTAGAAATCACTTCCTTATCCTTCAATGAGCATCTTGTATTTCATAAAAATTAGGGGCAATATAATCCTTACGTAAAGGCCATCCTAGCCAACTTTCAGGCATTAAGATACGTTTCAAGCGCGGATGATTCTCATAAGATATTCCCAACATATCATAAGATTCTCGCTCTTGAAAATCCACGCTTTTCCAAACCCAGAAAGCGGACGGAATTATAGGATTCCTTCTTGCGGCAAATACTTTGATGCATACCTCTTCTGGTTGATTTACGCCATACTCGATTCTGGTAAGATGATACACACTCGCTAACAGCCCGCCAGGTGATACATCATAGGCACATTGGGAGCGTAGATAATTGTAACCATATACATATAAAATGACAGCAATGGAATGCCAATCCTCGGGCCTTATTTGTAGGGTCTCTATTCCTTGATAATCAAAGCCCAAAGATCTATGAATTATCCCATGCTTTACTAGCCAAGCAGACAAACGACCCTGCATCTTTTTTATCTCCCGCATTTTTATTTAAAAAATTTCACATTCTCGATCAAATTGATGAAGATTGACTCGCTACTTGTTATTCTGTACAAAGGAGTCCTGCCTAATTCACAAATTCGTGAGAAGATACTGAACTTTTATATTTGAAAAAGATTTCAGTAGGGATCTCTGAAGTAGATGGGGGTTGATAGAGGAAGCCTTGATCATAATTTCCAGTATTCATACTGCGTGCACCATGAAACTTGTGATTGGTCGTAAAACACCGATTTACTTGTTGAGGCCTAATTTGATTGTCATAGATTTCTCGAGACATTTTCTTCCGAAGTTTCGTTATAGCATCTATAACTGCTTCTGGTTTAGGGGGACAACCCGGCAAATAGATATCCACAGGAATTAGCTTATCGACTCCCCGAACAGTACTATAAGAATCGGTACTGAACATCCCTCCTGTAATTGTACAGGCCCCCATAGCAATAACATATTTTGGATCGGGCATTTGCTCATATAATCTCACTAAGGAGGGGGCCATTTTCATTGTTACTGTTCCGGCTGTTAAAATTAGATCCGCTTGTCTAGGACTCGATCTTGGTACTAGTCCATAACGATCAAAGTCAAATCGTGATCCTATTAGTGAAGCAAATTCAATAAAACAACAACTGGTACCATAGAGAAGCGGCCATAAACTAGAGAGTCTTGACCAATTTGAAAAGTCATTTAATGTAGTTGAAATAACGGAATTTTCGGCTGTTGGATCAAGTAAAGGAAACTCAATGGAATTCATAACTTTTTCAATCGTTTTTTCTTTTTATTGTCTGAATATTCAGGAACTAGGACCATTCCAATGCCCCCTTTCGCCATGCATAAACTAAACCAACAATTAAGATAAGTACGAAAATGAAAGCTTCTATAAATACGGATAGACCCAATACATCGAAACTCATTGCCCATGGATAAAGAAAAACCGTTTCAACATCAAAAACAACAAAAACTAGAGCAAACATATAATAACGAATTCGAAATTGTAACCAAGCATTGCCCATTGGTTCTATACCCGATTCATAACTAGAGAGTTTCTCCGGTCCTTTCCGAATCGGGGCTAAAATTCCGGAAATGAAAAATGCTAAAATAGGAATAAGACTTGATATTATTAGAAATGCCCAAAAAATATCATATTCGTAAAGCAAAAACATAGACACACTCCTATGAACATGGAAAATAGACCGGATTGGTCGATTCGAATTGAAGTTGTAAAGTCATCCAGAACTGTTTAATCAAAACAAGAATTCATTTTGATCAAACCATCTAGTTCCTTTTGATTATTGTGGGCATATCTCATTTCAAGATTTATCGACTGACTTGACTGGGATCCTGTTTCCAGTCTACTTACAGTTTACTTGAGTTTTTGAAGTCAATTTTCTTGAATTTATATATATATTTATATATATATTATTTATATGTATATTATATATAGTATATATTATGCTTAGACAAATTTTCTTGTTTTCCCCCAGGATTCTGGCTAAAGAAAGCGACTTCCAAATAAAATCGAATTATTATTTTGATTTTATGTTTCAAAAATTTGAACTTATTATTCTTTTGAATATTGAATAAAAAGAGGTTTTTTCTTAATGATTTAGAATGAAATAAGTATTTCCATCTCAGGATTTCGGATATCTTAAGGTATATTCTGTTTATTAGAATCTGAGTGGGGTTTTCTCTTGATTGAATACAGAACCATGAAACTTACCAAAGAGATTCGTTTTTCACCAAACTTTAGCCTGTCCCCTAGATCTATGTGAATAACTCTTTGGAGTGGACTTATGTCTTTGACTTCTTAAATTCATTAAGGTTAGGTTAAAGTTAGGTATAATAAAGTATTAGGTATACTAAGGAGTATCATTAACTTAACTCCTTGATTGTGGTGGACAGGGAAATTCATATCGAATTTATCTCCGCGGATTAATGACCAATTTATTCCAGTTTTCTGTTCTGTTTAATGTTTAAAATGAGAATGAGTGAATTTTTAGGAAAAATTCGATTTCGAAAAACCAACCGGTCAGTCACAAGTACCAAAAAGGAAAATTATATAATTTTTTCTTTCAAATCTTCATTTGATTTTATATTTCTTTTCGATTTTGATTTCTAGGGCTATACGGACTCGAACCGTAGACCTTCTCGGTAAAACGGATCAAACTTATTATTATCAAAATGATCTGAACTGTTTCAAAAACCCAACATGCATTTTTTTTTGCATTGGGCTCTTTCATTAACTGAAAGAAATATCAGCCAATCCACCATATTTTTTTTGACAGAAAAATCCGATAAGGAGATAGCTCCGTGTGCTCTGATTCATTATATGAGAGAGCACTACCAAAGTGTTTCAAGGGTGTGGGTTATCTTGACGTAGGTCTGCCTCCGGCCTAGATTGTTTTAAGTTAAATGAAGTCTCTATCGTTCCTTTGAAAATGAAAATCAAATATGAAACTTCATACACCTTAAAGCTCATAGGACGAAAAGAAATTTTTTGAGAACCTTATACTCATTATGCCTAGCATTGAATGCACTGGTATTCACCTTATCAATATCTCAAATCAACGATCCGGTCTGTTTGGCACCAAAATCCGATCGAATCATTTGTCAGGCTATTGTTCCCTCAATAGTTATGAGGGTAAGACATCGATTTCGCAAGAAAATGAATTTCTTTTTATTTGAGTGTATAATGGACTCCCCCAAAAAACATTGGCGCATGTGTAAACGAGGTGCTCTACCAACTGAGCTATAGCCCTTAGTGCTTGTGATGCGTATTTTATCATGTATAGAATTTCTTGTCAAGATGAATATTCTATGATCCAATATCATATATTTTGGAATGGTATTGCTTAGGTTATTATTGCTTATTAAGGAATATGCTATTTATAATCCATCGGTGGGATGGGTTCCGTTTGGTTTTTTTGGGATGATAAATTACCTACTTAACTCAGTGGTTAGAGTATTGCTTTCATACGGCGGGAGTCATTGGTTCAAATCCAATAGTAGGTAGAACTTATTAGATACCATTGACTCCGGTATCTAATAAGTTTTTTGACCCATTCTTTTTTCTTTTTAGTGATTTTGTATTCTTATTGATTTCGATTTCATTTTTGAAATGCGTTGTATCAAAATTGGACTCTGTCAAGTGAATCCAATCAAGCAGAATCCAGGCCAAACTTCTTTTGATTATTCGAACGCAATAACTGCTTATGAAATCACATTGACAGCCTCTACTCTTGTCCTAGCTCGTCGGAGAGCTAGATTTGCTTCAATTTTTTGTCTCTTTCCTTCAGCTTTTCTCAAACTAGCTTCTGCTATTTCAAGAGTTTGCTGAGCTTCTTGCGGATCAATATCACTACCCTTTTCCGCATCATTGACTAAAATAGTGATTTCATTATTGCCTATTCTAGCAAAACCACCCATCAGAGCCATCGTGAACCATTGGTCCGTAAGGCGTATTCTCAAAATTCCTATATCTACAGCTGTAGCAATAGGAGCATGATTTGGTAATACGCCAATTTGACCGCTATTCGTAGATAAAATGATTTCTTTCACTTCTGAATCCCAAACAATTCGATTAGGGGTCAGTACACAAAGATTTAAGGTCATTTCTTCAAATTGTTCTCCATTTCTAAGTTCATAGCCTTCCCGGCAGCTTCATCAATATTACCTACCAAATAAAAGGCCTGTTCAGGAAGACCATCTAATTCTCCGGAAAGGATCAATTGAAACCCTCTAATGGTTTCTGCTAGACCAACATATTTCCCAGGAGAACCGGTAAATACTTCGGCTACAAAAAAGGGTTGTGATAAGAAACGCTCAATTTTTCGCGCTCTTGCTACGGTTAAACGATCCTCTTCGGATAATTCGTCCAACCCCAGGATGGCTATAATGTCTTGAAGCTCTTTATAACGTTGTAAGGTTTGCTTAACTCTTTGCGCAGTTTCATAATGTTCCTCACCAACGATCCGAGGTTGAAGCATGGTTGAAGTTGAATCTAAAGGATCTACTGCCGGATAGATACCTTTGGCAGCTAATCCTCTTGATAGTACGGTAGTAGCATCTAAATGTGCAAATGTCGTAGCAGGAGCAGGATCGGTCAAATCGTCTGCAGGTACATAAACTGCTTGAATCGAAGTGATTGACCCTTCTTTGGTAGAAGTAATTCTTTCTTGTAAAGAGCCCATTTCGGTACTCAGGGTGGGTTGATAACCGACCGCGGAAGGCATTCTACCTAATAAGGCCGATACTTCGGATCCTGCTTGGACGAAACGGAAGATATTGTCGATAAATAGAAGTACGTCTTGTTCATTAACATCTCGGAAATATTCCGCCATCGTTAGGGCAGTCAAACCAACTCTCATACGAGCTCCCGGCGGTTCATTCATCTGACCGTAAACCAGGGCTACTTTTGATTCTGCAATATTTTCTTCATTAATAACTCCAGATTCTTTCATTTCCATGTAAAGATCATTTCCTTCACGAGTACGCTCACCCACTCCGCCAAATACGGATACGCCCCCGTGGGCTTTGGCAATATTGTTAATCAATTCCATAATGAGTACCGTTTTCCCAACCCCAGCTCCCCCAAATAGTCCGATTTTTCCCCCACGCCGATAAGGGGCTAAAAGATCTACTACCTTAATTCCTGTTTCAAAAATAGATAATTTTGTATCCAATTGGATAAAGGCAGGCGCAGATCGATGAATAGGAAATGTTGTACGAGTATCTACAGGACCCAAATTATCAACAGGCTCTCCAAGCACGTTGAAAATGCGTCCCAGAGTAGCTCCACCGACCGGAACACTTAGAGGAGCTCCCGTATCAATCACTTCCATTCCTCTCATCAGACCATCTGTAGCACTCATAGCTACAGCTCTAACTCGATTATTTCCTAATAATTGCTGTACCTCACAAGTCACATTAATTGGTTGACCAACAGTATCTCGACCTTTAACTACCAAAGCGTTATAAATATTAGGCATTTTGCCCGGCGGAAAGGCTACATCTAGTACCGGACCGATGATTTGGACGATACGTCCCAGGTTTTTTTTTTCAACCGCGGAAACCCCAGTAGTAGGATTAATTCTCATAATAATAAATATGTGTCAAAGTTTGTGAAAATTATCAAATTTAAAATAACCGTCTAATAGCACGCCGATCAGTTAATTAATTCAATTAAGAAATGGGAGTTAGCACTCGATTTCTTTCGTTGGTGCGATTCAATCGAATCCACTTCAATTGGTTCCTTATTCAATGAGTGAAGTTGCAAGCCCAACCAAGCTATTTTGAAACATGAGATCTTGAGAAAGTTTTTCATTTGTCTATCATTATAGACAATCCTATTTCGATTCGAAAATATATTCTATGGAAGTTGAACCCGAACTCTATTTACATTACGATTCATTATTTCTATCTTATCGGCTCTTCTTATTTTTGATTTCAGCATATTAATTTATGCCTATAGCCTATCTCTTGCATGGATGAATTTCGGCTATTTTCATATCTAAGATTTACATATACAACATATACCGCTGTCAATAGGGAATTTCTTATTAGTTGGGTTAGTTATTTCGATTTCGAAAAAGGTAAAAAAAGGGGGGGTTGCGCTATACATATGAAAGAGTATACAATAATGATGTGTTTGGTAAATCAAATACCATGGCCTAATAATCAATCTGATTAGTTGATAATATTAGTATTAGTTGGAAGTTTTTGAAAAATTCCCGTGAATAGTTTCATTAACGCCTAATTCATTCGTGTCGAGTAGACCTTGTTGTTGTCAGAATTCTTAATTCATGAGTTGTAGGGAGGGATTTATGTCACCACAAACAGAGACTAAAGCAAGTGTTTTTTTCAAAGCGGGTGTTAAAGAGTACAAATTGACTTATTATACTCCTGAATACGAAACCAAAGATACTGATATCTTGGCAGCATTCCGAGTAACTCCTCAACCCGGAGTTCCGCCTGAAGAAGCAGGGGCAGCGGTAGCTGCCGAATCTTCCACTGGTACATGGACAACCGTGTGGACTGATGGACTTACCAGCCTTGATCGTTACAAAGGGCGATGCTACAACATCGAGCCCGTTCTTGGCGAAACAGATCAATATATTTGTTATGTAGCTTACCCTTTAGACCTTTTTGAAGAAGGTTCTGTTACCAACATGTTTACTTCCATTGTAGGAAATGTATTTGGATTCAAAGCCCTGCGTGCTCTACGCCTGGAAGATCTGCGAATCCCTACTGCTTATATTAAAACTTTCCAAGGTCCGCCTCATGGGATCCAAGTTGAGAGAGATAAATTGAACAAATATGGTCGTCCTCTGCTGGGATGTACTATTAAACCTAAATTGGGATTATCCGCTAAAAACTACGGCAGAGCATGTTATGAATGTCTTCGCGGTGGACTTGATTTTACCAAAGATGATGAGAACGTGAACTCCCAGCCATTTATGCGTTGGAGAGATCGTTTCTTATTTTGTGCTGAAGCAATTTATAAGGCACAGGCTGAAACAGGTGAAATCAAAGGACATTACTTGAATGCTACTGCGGGTACATGCGAAGAAATGATGAAAAGAGCTGTATTTGCTAGGGAGTTGGGAGTTCCTATCGTAATGCATGACTACTTAACAGGAGGATTCACTGCAAATACTAGCTTGGCTCATTATTGCCGAGATAATGGCCTACTTCTTCACATTCACCGTGCAATGCACGCAGTTATTGATAGACAGAAGAATCATGGTATGCACTTCCGTGTACTAGCTAAAGCGTTACGTCTGTCTGGTGGAGATCATATTCACGCTGGTACCGTAGTAGGTAAACTTGAAGGAGAAAGAGACATTACTTTGGGCTTTGTTGATTTACTGCGTGATGATTTTGTTGAAAAAGACCGAAGTCGCGGTATTTATTTCACTCAAGATTGGGTCTCTTTACCCGGTGTTATTCCCGTGGCTTCAGGGGGTATTCACGTTTGGCATATGCCTGCTCTGACCGAAATCTTTGGGGATGATTCCGTACTACAGTTTGGTGGAGGAACTTTAGGACACCCTTGGGGGAATGCGCCAGGTGCCGTAGCTAACCGAGTAGCTCTAGAAGCATGTGTACAAGCTCGTAATGAAGGACGTGATCTTGCTGCTGAGGGTAATGTAATTATCCGCGAGGCTAGCAAATGGAGTCCTGAACTAGCTGCCGCTTGTGAGATATGGAAAGAGATCAAATTTGAGTTTGAAGCAGTGGATGTTTTGGATCCAACAAAATAATTACTCTCCGTTCTCTTAATTGAATTGCAATTAAACTCGGCTCAATCATTTTAGTAAAAGATTGGGCCGAATAGAACCATTCTATTGCATGTATTTTGGATAAATACATAGATCTCGAGATAGAGAAGATTTCAAATAGCAAATTGAAGACTCAAATGGTTCTATTGTCGTCTTGGATCCACATTTAAACCTATGGATCCTCAGGATTGGTATATTCTTTATAGATCCTGTAGTTTGGCTGAATCAAGCGAAGTATCACAAATTTTTGACCCATCCTGTATATTGTCTTTTTCGTTCCGTGTTGAAATAGACCCTTAATTTCTTACTTCTTATTAGTTATTAGTTAGTTATTAGACGAGATTTTACAAAAAAATTCTATCTAGGGTAGAACAAATATTGCTTTTTTGTTCGACGCGAAGGCGAAGACATAGGAAAAAGCACTTTTTATCATTCTATTTAATTTCGAATGAAAAGGGATTCCATCATATTACTATATAGTTATAGTAAAATCTTACCTCCGGATTCCCACAAAATAAAAGATAATCACTTCTTATTAATAATTTAGTATTTCGCAATGATGTAATTTCTATGTTTAGTCTGATGGGAATTCAAAGACAAATAAAGAATTGCGGGTCGAATGACTATTCATCTAGTGTATTTTTATGCAAATAAAATAGGGGGCAAGAAAACTCTATGGAAAGATGGTGGTTTAATTCGACGGTGTTTACCAAGGAGTTCGAACACAGGTACGGGATAAAGAAATCAACGGACAATCTTGGTCCTATTGAAAATACTAGTGAAAGTGAAGATTCGAATCAAAAAGGTGGGGCTAAAAACATTCATAGTTTGGGGGGTCGTGACAATTCTAGTTACAGTGATGTCGATCATTTATTTTTGGTCAAAGACATTCGGAATTTCATCTCTGATGATACTTTTTTAGTTAGGGATAGTACTGGAGACAATTATTCGATCCATTTTGATATTGAAAATCAGATTTTTAAGATTGACAACGATCATTCTTTTCTGAGTGAACTTGAAAGTTCTTTTTCGAGTTATCGAAATTCTAGTTATAGGAATAATGGATCTACGAGTGAAGATTCCTTATACAATTGCTCGATGTATGATACTCAATCTAGTTGGAATAATCACATTACTAGTTGCATTGACGATTATCTTCAGTATCAAATCTGTATTGATATGTCCATTGTAAGTGATAGTAGTGACAGTTACATTTCTAGGCGCGTTTTTGATAAACGTAGAACTAATAGTGAAAGGGGGGGATCCAGTATACGAACCCACGAGAAGAGCAGTGATTTAACTCTAGGAGAAAAGTCTAATGATCTCGATGCAATTCAAAACTACAAGCATTTGTGGGTTCAATGCGAAAATTGTTATGGATTAAATTATAAGAGATTTTTGAAATCAAAAATGAATATTTGTGAACAATGTAGATATCATTTGAAAATGAGTAGTTCAGAAAGAATCGAAGTCTCGATCGACCCCGGTACTTGGGATCCTATGGATGAAGACATGGTCTCTCTGGATCCGATTGGATTTCATTCGGAGGAGGAGACTTATAAAGATCGTATTGATTCTTATCAACGAAAGACAGGATTAACTGAGGCTGTTCAAACAGGCATAGGGCAACTAAATGGTGTTCCCGTAGCACTTGGGGTTATGGATTTTCAGTTTATGGGGGGTAGTATGGGATCCGTAGTCGGGGAGAAAATCACTCGTTTGATTGAGTACGCTACCAATCGATTTCTACCTCTTATTATAGTGTGCGCTTCGGGGGGGGCACGCATGCAAGAAGGAAGTTTGAGCTTGATGCAAATGGCTAAAATATCGTCTGCCTTATATGATTATCAATCAAATACAAAGTTATTTTATGTCTCAATCCTTACATCTCCTACTACTGGTGGGGTAACAGCTAGTTTTGGGATGTTGGGAGATATCATTATTGCCGAACCCAACTCCTACATTGCATTTGCGGGTAAAAGAGTAATTGAACAAACATTGAATAAAACAGTCCCCGAGGGTTTACAAGTCTCTGAATATTTATTCCAGAAGGGCTTATTCGACCTAATCGTACCACGTAATCTTTTAAAAAGCGTTCTGAGTGAGTTATTTAAACTACACGCCTTCTTTCCTTTGAATTGAAATTCTATCAAGTAAGTTCAATTATTTTATTTGTAGCAAACAAGTAGTTAACTTATCGGAATTAAAGTAAATAAGAATGGAGTTTTCTTTAATGACTTAAGATCGAATTGTAGAAAGAATCAAAAGTTGAGGATAACTCTTTTTTTACCGGGATTCCCATTAAGAAGTCTCTATCAAAAGAAGTCTCTATCAACAAGATAAAAGCGAGAGTTCTTCCTTTCGTGAAATTAGACAAACAAAACGAATTTCGTCTTACATAAATTCAAATCAAATATAGAAAAGATAGATATATAATTTTCTATTTTTCTCCATCTACCGAAAATTCAATTTTCACTAAAAATTCCGGTTGTGTCGCATTCTAACGAATCTTTCGATAATTTGTAACAAACTCTTTCTTTAGTAAATTTGAAGACAAGAACAAAACATAACGAAATAAAATAAAATAATCAAGTTTATTATCATACGTATCTTTCATGTAGAAAGATGAATTTATTTAGTTCTCCATTTTCTACATTCCTTAGATTTCTTTTATATACTAACTTAGATATATATAGATACTTATATTTTCTATTTCGAATAAGAATTTTCAAATTAAATTAATTAATAATAATAACGAATTCCTAATAATCACAATTCTGAATTATAATAAGTATAAATAGAAAATAGAAAAAAAAACAAATTAATAATAATAACAGGTACAATATAGTAAATCGAGGTACCATTTTATGACAACGTTCAATCTTCCTTCTATTTTTGTGCCTTTAGTAGGCTTAATATTTCCCGCAATTGCAATGGTTTCTTTATTTCTTCATGTTCAAAAAAAAAAAATTGTTTAGGACGCAATCTCAGCCGTTTTTTTTTTTGAAACTGTAGCATAACACAGATATTTATTTCGGGAAATGGAAATATAGTATAACATGTGATTTCCGCCGAATATAAAGGAAAAAGCTCTTATGCCCGCAGAAAATGATCTCTGGATAAATGAATCCTAGCTAGTTTCAAATAGATCAGCATCGCTGGATGCAGAAAATGTAAAGTTGGTGGATCCATATGTATATTGGGGTCCTCTGAAGGGTATGTTATTATTTTAGATCTAACCAATTTGATGAATGACTCCTAAAGCTTCACATTAAACTAGTGCTAGTTCACATCAAACTAGTGCTAGTTGATGAGAGTTCCTTCGGAAACAAAAAAGGAAGGGCAAAATGGGTATTCTCTCAATTCCAATAAAATACAATCGGATCAAGTATGAGTTGGCGATCAGAACATATATGGATAGAGCTTATAACGGGGTCTCGAAAACTAAGTAATTTTTGCTGGGCCCTTATCGTTTTTTTAGGTTCATTAGGATTCTTATTGGCTGGAACTGCCAGTTATCTTGGTCGAAATTTGATATCTTTTGTCCCATCTCAGCCAATTCTTTTTTTTCCACAGGGAATTGTGATGTCTTTCTACGGGGTCGCGGGTCTATTTATTAGTTCCTATTTGTGGTGCACAATTTCTTGGAATGTAGGTAGTGGGTATGATCGATTCGATAGAAAGGAGGGAATAGTGTGTATTTTTCGTTGGGGATTTCCTGGAAAAAATCGTCGTATATTCCTCCGATTCCTTATAAAGGATATTCAATCCGTTCGAATAGAAGTTAAAGAGGGTATTTATGCTCGCCGTGTCCTTTATATGGACATCAGAGGCCGGGGGGCTATTCCGTTGACCCGTACTGATGAGAATTTGACCCCACGAGAAATTGAACAAAAAGCCGCGCAATTGGCCTATTTCTTGCGCGTACCTATTGAAGTTTTTTAAAAGGAACTTAGCTGAAGAACGAATGTTTTCTCAGCAGGAGGGAAATCCTCTTGTTTTCTAAATGAAGTTTCGTCAGAACATTCAGTCCAGCCAAAGCCGGGGTATATGGAACAACCATAAAACAAAACTTTTTTTTCGTTCTTCTTCGAAGTGATAAGATGCAGATAGAGCATATCTTGTAGATTTTTTCCTTTTTGTCAATCGATATTTTTTTATCTTTTCGCTTGTGTTCTTTACTAACCAATAATCGATTTTCTTAGTAATGAAAACTGGCCTTTTTCTGTCTTGTTTGTTTTGCCGCTCCTTTTTTTGATCATCACACTATCTTTCTCTCAATCATTTGATTCTTGGATATGTCGAATCGTTGCAATTTTTTTGCAATTATTGGATATTTTGATAGAAAACGAGTTCCTTCGTCTCAAAATATTAATAATATTCATTCCAAACAAGTGTCTCCTTTCAATGAATGACGGAAAGAAGCACTTGTTTGGAATTTGGTGAATCGAGATATCCGGAAAGAATATTTTTGATTATTTCTTCATTCGAATTCGCAGTTCGAGGCGGAGTCTTAGTCTATTTCTGTATTCTTTCTGGATTTAAACAAAATCATAAATCAAATAGATTCAGAGGTTTGATACCTTATTGAGAACTCATATTAAAAAAAAAATATTCGATCACATAGAATCGAGAAATGAAGTTTGTTAATTCAAAATTCACAGGTGAAAAATGGCAAAAAAGAAAGCATTCACTACTTTTTTCTATCTTACATCTATAGTCTTTTTTTTTCCCTGGTGGGTTTCTCTCTCATTTACTAAATGTATGGAATTTTGGGTTACTAATTGGTCAAATAGTGGTCAATCCGAAATTTTTTTGAATGATATTAAAGAAAAAAGTATTCTAGAAAAATTCATAGAATTAGAGGAAATTCTTTTATTGGACGAAATATTCAAGGAATACTCGGAGACACATCCCCAAAAGCTTTCTATAGGAATCCACAAAGAAACGATCCAATTAGTCAAGATACACAATGAGGATCGTATCCATACGATTTTGCACTTCTCGACAAATATAATCTCTTTTGTTATTCTAAGCGGTTATTCTCTTTTAGGTAATGAAGAACTTGCTGTTCTTAACTCGTGGGCTCAGGAATTCCTATATAACTTAAGTGATACAGTAAAAGCTTTTTCGATTCTTTTATTAACCGATTTATGTATCGGATTTCATTCACCCCACGGTTGGGAACTAATGATTGGTTATGTTTACAAAGATTTTGGATTTGTTCATAATGATCAAATTATATCTGGTCTTGTTTCCACTTTTCCGGTTATTCTCGATACTATTTTGAAATATTGGATTTTCCGTTATTTAAATCGTATATCTCCGTCACTTGTAGTTATTTATCATTCAATGAATGATTGATAAATCATCCACCGATATTCATATTCATTTAATCTACTCTAATGGTTAGTTATACATAAGCATTAAAAACCTTCTATTGGGGGGATTTTCACCCTATATCCTATAGTATTCCAGTAAAGTGATTGCATTAAATAGCAGAATCGTGGATAGGGAACTATACCAGCAACCTACCCAATTTATTGTATAAATTATTATATAAATTTTTCGGATCAATGATTAGACCATGCAAACTAGAAATACTTTTTCTTGGATAAAGGAACAGATTACTCGATCTATTTCCGTATCACTCATTATATATATCATAACTCGGACATCTATTTCAAACGCATATCCCGTTTTTGCGCAGCAGAGTTATGAAAATCCACGAGAAGCGACTGGGCGTATTGTATGTGCGAATTGTCATTTAGCTAATAAGCCCGTGGATATTGAGGTTCCACAGGCGGTACTTCCTGATACTGTATTTGAAGCAGTTGTTCGAATTCCTTATGATAAGCAAGTGAAACAAGTTCTTGCTAATGGTAAGAAGGGGGGTTTGAATGTGGGGGCTGTTCTTATTTTACCGGAGGGATTTGAATTAGCTCCTTCCGATCGTATTTCTCCCGAGATTAAAGAAAAGATAGGCAATTTGTCTTTTCAGAGCTATCGCCCCCCAAAAAAAAATATTCTTGTGATAGGGCCTGTCCCCGGTCAGAAATATAGTGAAATCACCTTTCCTATTCTTTCCCCCGACCCCGCTTCTAAAAAAGATGTTCACTTCTTAAAATATCCTATATATGTAGGCGCGAATCGAGGAAGGGGTCAGATTTATCCCGACGGAAGCAAAAGTAACAATACAGTTTTTAATGCGACAGGAATGGGTATAATAAGTAAAATCCTACGAAAAGAAAAAGGAGGATATGAAATAACCATATCAGATCCATCGGATGGACGTCAAGTTGTTGATATTATCCCTCCAGGGCCCGAACTTCTTGTTTCAGAGGGTGAATCCATCAAATTGGATCAACCATTAACGAGTAATCCCAATGTGGGTGGATTTGGTCAGGGAGATGCAGAAATAGTACTTCAAGATCCATTACGTGTCCAAGGTCTTTTGTTCTTCTTGGCATCTGTTATTCTGGCACAAATCTTTTTGGTTCTTAAAAAGAAACAGTTCGAAAAGGTTCAATTGGCCGAAATGAATTTTTAGACTCGCGGATTTATCGATATCAGGATCGTAAAAAGAACAAAATTCTTGTTGTCAATTATCTATAAAAAGAAATTACGAAAAACTTTTATTTACTTGCTCTTTTTTTACGAGCTTGGGGGAATCAGCATTCCTAGTCATATCATAATAGGTATATTTTTCTTTCAAGAAGACTATTTTATTTGACTTTATGACTTTGTCTTTGTTAGGATTCCAATGTCCTAAAATGGATCCATTTTAGGACATTGGAAACCGAATTAAATTGGGATAGATATCAGCATAAGTAAGCGGGTAATAGAACGAACTACAAATGTGGGGAACAGATAATTCTAAGAGCTATTATTTGTCTTCGACACAAGAAAAGGGGGGTTTATAAAATCCCTTTTCTTGTGTCGAAAGAGGAATGATTTTGGGCTCCTAGTCTGGGTTTCGGTTTTCCAGATGTATCAGAACCTTTTTCTATTTATTTCGGACAATGACAACAAAAAAGTCAAGTGATGTACAAACAAAAAATAGAACTTATTCCATGAACTTCGAAAAAATCTCTACTTTTCTGATATACTAAATAAATAAAAAAAGAAATATGGTAAGAGGATAGAAAGTATTTCTACGATATCGAATCTAGAGAAATATATCGAATCCGTGCAATTGAGTGATTCCCTCCTTATTCAAAGAACCCATACATACTCTCAAGATCAAGGAAGAGATGTTCTGAATCAATGAATGAAGTTTATTTTTCAAAAGCATTATCAGAAAAAATGGAATGGAGTTTTGTGAAACAGCAGAAAACGAAACCCACTTTGTCATTTAGACAAAAAAAGACTCTGATTCTTAAGAACCCAACGGTCCCTTTCCCCTCGAATCAGACAAAGAAAGAAGGGAATCCCGTTGAGTTCCTACGTCTACAACTCAATCCATCCGATTACTACAGGGATGAACCTAATCCGGAATATGAACCATAAAAGAAAATACCTATTAAACCGATCACAAGAATACCAGTTACAGTACCTATTATCCAAAGAGGAATCCTTCCAGTAGTATCGGCCATTTCCTCCACTTCCCCCCAATTTCATTAAGTGGTCATGCTAGAGACATAAACAGTCATGGATAATTATGAGATGAGATCCTTCCGAACGGGCTAAGAGAATGCCTAGAGTTTTGATTTTTTCTTTCGTTTTCTTAATTGAAGAAATAATTCGAAAATAAAACAGCAAGTACAAAAATAAGTAATAACCCCCAGTAGAGACTGGTACGATTCAATTCAACATTTTGTTCGTTCGGGTTTGATTGTGTCATAGCTCTATAAATTCGGAATTAGGTTTATCGTTGGATGAATTGCATTGCTGATATTGACCCCAAAAAAAAGACGGTTGGTACAGCTAGTCCGTGAACAGCCAACCATCGTACTGTAAAAATTGGATAGGTTCGATCTATAGTCATTTGATTAGGACCTCCTAAAACGATCTACTAAATTCATCGAGTTGTTCCAAAGAATCAAAACGTCCAGTTATTAATGGAATTCCTTGTCGGCTCTCTGTGAAATATTCGTTTGGCCGAGGGCTTCCAAATACATCGTAAGCTAAACCCGTACTGACGAATAACCAACCCGCAATAAATAGGGAAGGTATCGTAATGCTATGAATGACCCAATATCGAATACTGGTAATAATATCAGCAAAAGAACGTTCTCCTGTGCTTCCAGACATGCTCAGCTCCACATATTTTTGTACAGTCAAAGGGGGGATCGTAAAAGATGAGATCAGTAAAAGGCAATCACTGAAATTGGATCTTTGTAGGATCGTCAATATTGCACCGAGGGCATCTTTCGAATATACCGAATCAGTATAACTATCCTTCTTTCGACACAGCAACGCAATTTGAATCAGTATCGAAAAGAAGTGCTAAATTAATGTATTTCTTCCTTTCCTTTATCTGTTCAGGTAAAATGATGCTATATTTAATACAAAATTCTTACAATGAAAGAGATTATCATCTTTCTACAATTTAAGGAATTGGTGAATCTTCCAGTAACAAATATGAGTAGTAAATCCTATTCGATGAAAGAAAGCGAAAAAAGAATCAAAAAATCGGAATCAATACTTGTAATGAATTGGATCTCAATCCAAATCTTGATTTAGCTGCAAGAATGAGACTTTTTAAAAATATGAAAATAAAAAATGGAAAATAGTATTCCATAATAATTCAAAAAGAGTTTCATTTTTGAATGAAGTTACACGATTCAGTTCGTATTATTGGTTTATGTTCAACGACTCGGTTGATAGGAATTACTAGATGGCTAGATCATAGAAATGATGAATCAGTTTCGTTTTATATGCCTGTCACTTTCTCTTTGTTCGTGCCATCTAGAATGATAGATAAATCACAAAATTTCAATTGAAATTAGTTGTTCAATTTATATTTTTGTATATCCTCCTATGTCAAAAAAAAGGAAACTCAGGTAAATGCTTTAGAAATCTATGTATAGAAATACCACATTTCAGTTAGCCCCCCCTCATGCTTACTATAACCAGTTATTTCGGTTTTCTACTAGTAGCTTTAACTATAACTTCAGTTCTATTTATTGGTCTGAGCAAGATACGACTTATTTAAAATTTCTCTTTGAAAGAAAGAATTCAGAAAGGAAATCTTTCTGTGAGATTCCGTATATTCTACATCAAGTCAATTTTCAATTCTTGGTCGTTGAGATTTATGTCAATTCTGATTAATATTTAATTATAGATATTTCCTCTTTTTTTCTCCTTTTCATAAAATTGAAATGATTGAAGTTCTTTTATTTGGAATCGTGTTAGGTCTAATTCCTATTACTTTGGCTGGATTATTCGTAACTGCATATTTACAATACAGGCGCGGTGATCAGTTGGATCTTTGATTAATTAAGATTTCTTTTTTTGACTTTTGACTGACCCCCTCCTTTCTTTAATGTCAATGCTATACAAGTGATTGAATCCACTTCAGTCTAATTTTATTTACGAAGAAAAAATCACGCTCTGTAGGATTTGAACCTACGACATCGGGTTTTGGAGACCCACGTTCTACCGAACTGAACTAAGAGCGCTTTCTTATCAGAACTGTAAAGAAAAAAAGATTCTGTTTCGAACCCGAATCCATTTGATTTTGTATGCATATATTCTATAGTTCTATAATTCCGTGCAATTGGAATCGATCTCAATTGATTCCTTGTTACTGGTTAAAGGGGACAGTAATTAGGTAGGGATGACAGGATTTGAACCCGTGACATTTTGTACCCAAAACAAACGCGCTACCAAGCTGCGCCACATCCCTTGAATCGTTCTATAGTATGATTGTAGAGAATTCCTGTCTTGTTTTCTACATGCCTATTTCCTCCATTGAGAAACACAATTGTTCGGCCCATTTCGTCTTTTTTGTCTCATTTAACTTAGAATAATAAGAAAGGGAAAACCTTATGGATCCTTTTTCAATTTGAATTAGGGATTCTGTGTACAACTCTAAGTGGCTCTTAACCACATATGCATCTGATCATATATGCATTATCTTTATGTATTTAAAAAAAAGGAGGTTTTTCAATGCGATATCTAAAAACATATCTCTCCGTGGCTCCAGTACTAAGTACGCTATGGTTCGGGGCTTTAGCAGGTCTATTGATAGAGATTAATCGTTTTTTTCCGGATGCGCTGACATTCCCCTTTTTTTCATTCTAGTTATTGACGTCGGAAGGAATGAACAAGATTAGAGATACAATCAACTATCTGTGACTAATTTATCCTCCCTTTTTCTCTTTTTTCCCTTTTTTCGAATTTTGAAAATTAAGGGACGAAAGAGAAAGCATAAAAGTGAATTCAACGTCTGCGAGACTTGGGTTCAAATTCGAATTAAATGAATAGTAATAATACACTAATACTAATAGAGACGTGTGGATAGAATGCGGGTCTAGAGCAAGAATACAAGATCTTTAAGGGAAATATTGTTCTTCGGGTTGAAATGGAGTTTCAAAATCATTGTCTTACTTATTCTTATTATTTACTATGGCTTTGCTTTGATTTATTAGAACTTTATTGATTTTTATCTTTTCAAGTTTGATTGAAAATTAGTAACTTCTATTTTTTCCTTCCTTTCTTTTTCTTTATTTCGAATCAAATATAGAAGAGCTGAGTAAATCAAAAATACAAAGGAGATTCATGGCCAAGAAGAAAGATGCGCGAGGAACGGTGATTTTGGAATGTAACGGTTGTATCCGAAACGGTGTTAAGAAGGTATCAACAGGCATTTCCAGATATATTACTCAAAAGAACCGACACAATACGCCTAATCAATTAGAATTGAGAAAATTCTGTCCCTATTGTTACAAACACACGATTCATAGGGAAATAAAGAAATAGATCGAATCTTAGTTTTGAAATCTTAGTCTTGAAAGGGTAAAAATGACATTATATAGAACAACATAGAGCTCGAAATAGAACATATTTTACTAATAAAAAATCCTATTGTGGGTGAAAATGACAATTAAGAAATAGGATTTTTAGGATAAGAAATAAACTAAACAAACAAACCATGGATAAATCTAAGCGGCCTTTTCTGAAATCCAAGCGATCTTTTCGTAGGCGTTTGCCCCCGATTCAATCGGGGGATCGAATTGATTATAGAAACATGAATTTAATTAGTCGATTTATTAGTGAACAAGGAAAGATATTATCTAGACGATTGAATAGATTGACCTTGAAACAACAACGATTAATTACTATTGCTATAAAGCAAGCTCGTATTTTATCTTTGTTACCTTTTCTCAACAATGAGAAACAATTTGAAAGAACCGAGTCGACCGCTAGAACTACTGGTCTTAGAACCAGAAAAAAATAGGTTTATTCTTTGTTCACTTGAATCAGAATTCCAATCCGAACTCAAACATGGATTGGTTTTTTGTTCGACACAAATTTGAGAAGCCAGATTTTATTATCATGTCTGTCATAAGAAAAAAAAAAACGAAAAAAAAAAAGAGTTTTTTTTATTGAACGTGTTCATTCATTTTCACTACTTTAGCCTATTTTCTCATAGTCATTTCGACTCCACCTTCCCGGAGTTCATTCTCCGGGGAACTCCATTTAACTTATTCTGGTGTATTCGTTCCAATCTACTTCTTTTCTGATTTCATTGGAAATCATATAAAGACACTTTCTATTTGATATAGCTATTTGGGCTAGTATTTTACGATTAAGAAGCAACTGTCTTTTGTATAGATCATGTACTAATTTACTATAACTAGAGGATATTCCTCGTTCTCGAATTAATGCGTTTATTCGAGTGATCCACAAACGACGAAAATTTCTTTTTTGCTTATTCTTGTCCCGATGAGCCGAAACCAAAGCTCGTATTTTCTGTTGAGTAATAGTTCGAGTCAGTCTTGAATGAGCCCCTCGAAAGCTTGAGGCAAAGAAACGAATTTTTGTTCTGCGTCTCCGAGCTATATATCCGCGTTTAATTCTGGTCATTACATAAATAAAACTTTGACAAATAACTAATTGATTTCTTTTCTTTCAGTTATTCTTTTCCACGCCCTGGTCTATTAATAACCAAACGGATTTTTCCAATGTATAAAATCAAAATCCCAATGGCTTTGGCTACTATAACCTTCCAGACCACGATTTTTTAGGTATTTTACTGCGAAATACGAAAGAAATAAGGAACTATCCTTTGATAGGTGTTCAAAATAGAGTCAATAAAAAAGAACTAGAAATAGTGGGTTCCATCGTTTCTATGGTTACTTCTTAAACGGTGAGGTCTTCTCTATACATCGGAGCCTTTACTTCATTTAATCAATTAATCAATGTTATTGCGAACTTGTATAGTTCATACCACACTCTTCGGCTCTACCCACGAATTATCCAGTAACAGGCCTTTCACAATCAGACCGACCTATACAGTAACGATATTTAATTAGGAAAGTTAGCTGGGGTAGCTGACCTTCGTAGTCCGTTCTTGACCGAGTGCAAACCTCAGTTTTATGTTTTTTTTTTGTTTTTGAATTTCAATAAGATTTCCTCCGCTTAATGGATAAGCGTTTGCTATCAATGGAGAATTTCTTCTTATCTGAAATTCCGGTGATTGGATTTGCACCAACGGAAACCATAAACTTTAGACACAATAGAGGAATCGATTTGCTTATTTTTCGATAGTGAATAGAGTTCTTTCCTCTATTCTATCCTATTTACTGGTATTGATCATTCATCCCAACATACCGAAAATCGGTTTTCTTTCTTTTTTTTTTCGTCAGCTCATAATCGAAACGAGTCGCACATACACCCTAGTACATGTTCCTCGACGCTGAGGACAGCCCCGAAGAGCGGGGGATTTCGGGACATTTCGAATCGGCTGTCTTGTATTTCTAATAAGTTGTTTAATAGTAGGCATGTTGAATCATATACATAATGGGCAGGTTTAGATTAATCCTAACCGGGTGATTCTAAATTATTTGTATTTAAAAAAATATTAATAAAATAGTAAACCCGGAGATAAAATATCAAATCCCGGATTTTCACAAAATCCCTTTTTTTGTCATTGAACTGCTACAAAATCAATAATTCCATAAGCTTGGGCTTCTGTTGCTGACATAAAAACGTCTCTTTCCATGTCTTCAGATACAACCCATAATGGTTTGCCCGTCCTTTGTACATAAACCCTTGTGATGGTTTCGCGTAGTTTCAGCAGTTCTTCCGCTTCCAAGATAAATTCCCCCGTTTGCGCCTCATAAAAAGAACTAGCGGGTTGATGGATCATTACCCTGATGATAGAAGGGTTCTCTATCTGGTGTGATGAAACGAAGAGGAAATAAGGATAAAGAATAATAGGAAAAAAAGATCGAATTGAGCAACCGTACGGGCATCATCTTTTGTGCATTGCATACGGCTCTACAATCAAATTGACCCTTCAAATTCAAGAAATAGAAAAAAATCTATCAGCTCCAAGCCCTAGATGGGTAAATGATCAAAACGCCACCCTTCCTTTCGTAGGGGTTCAAAAATACTATGATGGCTCCGTTGCTTTCTATTTCAAAATAGATTTTTTTGTCTTTGATTGAGCAATCCCAAAGTTTCTTTTTAATCCAACCAAAAAAGGAAAAATCTTGTTTTTTTTTTTCGCACTCTTTTTTATAGAACATAAATATTGTTAAGAGCCCTTCGGTGTGAAAACAAAAAGGTTTGTAACGCTGAATTGGCTTCCCAATAAATAAGAGAAAATGGGAAATACCTTTTATTTCATACTAATCTCTCGATACATAATTGAATCTTTTGAAAAAAAAAACAATACAAAAATTTTCCATATCGAATTCGAAGTGCCATGCTATTATTACTTAATATTCATATGGCGAAGGCATAGTTTTCTTTTTTCTCTCAAATCAAAAACCTCATTGGCGCCAAGCGTGAGGGAATGCGAAACGTTTGGTAATTGCTCCCCCAACCAGGAGCAAAGATCCCATTGACGCGGCTAGTCCCATGCATATTGTATGGACCTCTGGGCGCACAAACTGCATAGTATCATAAATAGCTAATCCATCTATTACCCACCCGCCAGGGGAGTTTATAAACAAATAGAAATCTTTGGCAGCATTCTCAAGACTGAAATATACCATAAGACCAATAAGTTGATTCGAGATCTCGCTATCAACTTCTTGGCCTAAAAAAAGGAATCTTTCTTGATAAAGTCGGTTGAGTGGGGTAAAATTGCATCCCCTAGGAACCGTACATGCACCTTTTGATGCATACGGTTCAAAAAAAAAGAATCAATGTATAAATTCTAGTCCTCTTTCCTTTTTCCTATTCTTTTTAATAGCAGGTTTTTTCGAACTTCTACCGAAAGGGCTTTTTTTCAATAACGACGAGTTTTGACTTAGTTTCTTTCTTAGAATAGAAAAAAGTTAATAAACTTATTGAATTAACTTCTCATTGATGTATTGTTTCATCGAGATTCAATCCAAATCACGATGGTGTTTTCATGTTCCTGAATGGGCCTATTTCATTTTTTTAGGTTTATGCTCTACTCCGGGTAAAGATCCGGCCGATTTCGATTTGCACATATAGGACAAATCTTCTCATCACCATTTCTTTTTGTTATGACTTTAGAAATAACAAACAGGAATCATTTATGATACACTAATTATAGATATGCTCCTAATTGGGTTTTTTCTAAACGGAGCCTGGATACTTCATTTTTTAGTCCAACAAGAGCCAACCATAAATCATTCTAATTGATAATAAAACTATGAATTCCTCCAAACAATGCATCGAATTGCACTTCACACTCCAATTTTTGGATGATTCAATTTCTCTTTTTTGGCGAAATAGAGGCGGGGACGAGAACGGGGAAATACCATATGACCCAATCTATTTGACAAGTCCCACTATACGTCAACCCAAGATGCATCGTCATCTCCAGGAATTCGGAAGGGTACTTTTGGAACACCAATAGGCATGAATTGAAAGAAAAAAGAACTAAATTTCACTTTGATGCGGAAACGTAATAATATGGTTTTATTGTCTCTATTTTCGAATATTGGCTTTATCATATTTTTTTATCCAAAGATTCAAAAATTCAGAAAGAAAGACAAAATCAATAAAGGAAAATTTTTACAAATAGGTTTTCCTAATGAGAAATTAAGGATAGACATATTTACTCATAGAAACTGGCATCAATCTCCCATTGCGTATTGGTACTTATCGAGTATAGAATAAATCTGCTTATCGTTGTTTCTACGAACAGAATTCTTCCATTATTAGGAACAGAAGTTAATAAATATTAACTTAACCCTTGTTAGTAAATAATCCACTGAAGAAGTGCAGTCTATAGGATAATCATAGTATTACAGTCTTTGCAATGCAATAAAGTTACGTAGTGTCTATTTTTCTTTGATAAGGGGGTATTTTCCATGGGTTTGCCTTGGTATCGTGTTCATACCGTTGTATTGAATGATCCCGGCCGGTTGCTTTCCGTTCATATAATGCATACAGCTCTGGTTGCTGGTTGGGCGGGTTCGATGGCTCTGTATGAATTAGCCGTTTTTGATCCTTCTGACCCTGTTCTTGATCCAATGTGGAGACAGGGTATGTTCGTTATACCCTTCATGACTCGTTTAGGAATAACCAATTCGTGGGGAGGTTGGAGTATCACAGGAGGGACTGTAACAAATCCGGGGATTTGGAGTTACGAGGGTGTAGCTGGGGCACATATTGTGTTTTCTGGCTTATGCTTTTTGGCAGCTATCTGGCATTGGGTCTATTGGGATCTAGAAATTTTTTGCGATGAACGTACAGGAAAACCTTCTTTGGATTTACCTAAGATCTTTGGAATTCATTTATTTCTCTCCGGGGTGGCTTGTTTTGGTTTTGGTGCATTTCATGTAACAGGCCTGTACGGTCCTGGAATCTGGGTGTCCGATCCTTATGGATTAACGGGAAAAGTACAACCTGTAAATCCGTTGTGGGGCGTGGAAGGTTTTGATCCTTTTGTTCCGGGAGGAATAGCTTCTCATCATATTGCAGCAGGTACATTGGGCATATTAGCGGGTCTATTCCATCTTAGCGTTCGACCGCCACAACGTCTATACAAAGGATTGCGCATGGGAAATATCGAAACCGTACTCTCCAGTAGTATCGCGGCTGTCTTTTTTGCAGCTTTTGTTGTTGCTGGAACTATGTGGTATGGTTCAGCAACTACCCCCATTGAATTATTTGGTCCTACTCGTTATCAATGGGATCAGGGTTACTTCCAGCAAGAGATCTATCGAAGAGTTAGCGTCGGGCTAGCAGAAAATCAAAGTTTATCAGAAGCCTGGTCGAAAATTCCTGAAAAATTAGCTTTTTACGATTATATTGGCAATAATCCGGCAAAAGGAGGATTATTCAGGGCGGGTTCGATGGATAACGGGGATGGAATAGCGGTTGGATGGTTAGGGCACCCTATTTTTAGGGATAAAGAAGGGCGTGAGCTTTTTGTACGTCGTATGCCTACTTTTTTCGAAACATTTCCAGTCGTTTTAGTAGATGGCGACGGAATTGTTAGAGCCGATGTCCCCTTTCGAAGAGCAGAATCGAAGTATAGTGTTGAACAGGTGGGTGTAACCGTTGAGTTCTATGGTGGCGAACTCAATGGAGTCACTTATAGTGATCCTGCTACCGTCAAGAAATATGCTAGACGTGCTCAATTGGGTGAAATTTTTGAATTAGATCGGGCGACTTTGAAATCCGATGGTGTTTTTCGTAGCAGTCCAAGGGGTTGGTTTACTTTTGGACATGCTTCGTTTGCTTTGCTTTTTTTCTTCGGACACATTTGGCATGGTGCTAGAACTTTGTTCAGAGATGTTTTTGCTGGTATTGACCCAGATTTGGATGCTCAAGTAGAGTTTGGAGCATTTCAAAAAATTGGGGATCCAACTACAAGAAGACAGGCAGTTTGATACAAGACCGCTTTGGTATCTTTCGCCTCTATTTTTTTGGTTTTGCAAGGAATTTTCGATAGAGTATCGGAGTGAATTTGAATCGCTGCTTTTGAACTCTTGCTCTT